AAGTTATTTGCAAAGTCACTCAGAACATCAACAGCAAAGAGAGACACTGGCCACTGAGCTCCTGGGCTACTGGTTAGTAAGGTTACCACCTGGCTGACCTTGCTAGTTGATAAACCTGAAACTTTCTGTTCTTTTCCATGCTAATTGCTAACCGCACCACCCGACCGAAGGAAGCTTCTCCCACAGAAACGACGAGCTGTTGGGTCAGAGCTGTCCTCCTTCACGGAGCTCTGCCAACATCTTGGACCTCACCTATGGGACACAGCTTCTGTTCTTGTCCTCAAGCATCCCCCAAAAGGCCGCCAACTCCGCTCAATTCTATCACGGCTTTTGAAGATGATAAAACATTTAATGAAATGCACAGTGACATCACCAAACGCATTGCAGATTCGATCCAAGCCAGGCCTCCAAACACAGCGTTTGTGAAAACGGTACTGTCACTTCTCCAAAACCTAAGAATACAAAAATAGTTTGATTTACGGGTACCACAATACTACAAACCCAAATTTGTTATGTCAACGCAAAATCATGCCTCACACATGCCCACATAACCACAGGCTGCAGCCCACTTACCACTAAAAAAGGAGAGAAACAGAGCCATGCCAGGCTCAGAAAATACTTTAAAATTAGTGACTTGCCAAGACAACTGACACCAGTACCGTGTTTGTAAGCTATAAAGGTGTTAAATATCACCCACTGCTGAAATATTTAAGAAGAGTCTGCAAGTTCGCCTCAGGCATTTCCCTGGGCGCTGCACCCTGCTCGCTGCAGAGACCCCCAGGGTGGGGGATACCGCATTCACCCCGTGTGTAAACGCCCAAGTAGGACCACAGCCGCTCCATATTCATGTTGTGCTCCCAGCTTATCTTCTCACAGCTCTGGAGTGCATTCTTCCTTATCTTGGAGACAAACGGCCTCCACGGAGAGCTCTAAACAGCAGAGCTATTTATCTGTTTGACATGTGTTTCCCTGTTTGTTTTCTCCAGCCTTGAGACAGTCAGCTCAGGCTTTGACAATATTCAGCTGCGTCAACGGCAGAGGGTTGCCTGGCCCCTTCACTTCAGTGCTCTCAATCAATTCCTTTGCCATATTTATCATTTACTGTAGTAGATCAAGTCTAATCGATGCTTTCTTTTTTGATATAGAGCAAAGCCTTTACAAACTTTTCAGAAAGCTGGCTGGAATTAAAAAAGCCAGGAGGGAAAAAGAAATAATTTAATCAATTCAGCACTAATGTTTTCTTTGGAGAACATCCTGTGGGTGACACTGTCCCCGTGGAAAAAAATAGTAGAAAACCCCCCCAAGCTTTTGTTTATCTACTGATTGTTTCCAGTATTTCACTTGTTGCTTTTAACACCTTATTCTTTAAGCACGACATGAAGAAGTGTCTCCCTAACGTAAGTGCATCTCCATTCTTTCAGGGCCAGCTCCTGGATCCAAGGGACCCCCTCTCTCCGCGCACACACACCCCATGTTGCCCCCTCGGCCCTGCCAAGGCTCGAGAGCATCAGCTTTGCCTTGGGTCCCGTTTACCAGGGCTCTGTCACAGCCGGGCAGCTCCAGACAGCAGGGCTGGCACCCAAGCCTGAGCAGGGGTGGCAGAGCCCTCGCTGCTGGCCCTGGCAGGAGCGAGGATGCAGAAGAGATTTGGGCGAGAACCCAGGCTGCTGCCATTCGCTTACCCAGGGACAGCAGCTTTCTGGAAGGAGGGCTCACCACCAAACACCTCTGTGGAGACGTGGGGCTGGGAAGGAGCCCTCGCCTTTGCTGGGGCCTCGGTAAGAACAGAGGTCGGTGCCGTCCCAGTGACAGTCTGCTGTGAGGGCGGAGTGTCAGGACGTTAACTGGAGCCGCCTTCCCACAGCCACCTCAGCTGGTTTCAGGGTTGCTCCACACCACCCCCACAACATAAGGTCGGGACAAAACGCTGCTCTTAGCCTCAACCTCTAACAGAAAGTTAATTGATGAACAACAAGGCCTTAAGCAAGTTACATTTCCGACTAATCTCTCCCCCAGAGCACTCCGTACATCTCACACCCGCTTTCCCCTCCTCCAGCAAAATGCCACAGCTCTCAGGCTTAGCTCACAAACTTATTTTCAGTAGGAATTTTGTCCAGACACTGTTCTGTCCTTTCGGACTGATTACGATGATGAGCAACAAATGCCTTAAAACAAAGTATTGGCTGTGCTACAAATAAGCTTGGGTGGACGGGGTGGGGCACTAGAAACAAGGAGAATTTTAAAACCGACAGAACAAACTACACATGTATTGAGTTCCTCGTGTATCAATCCATTTCCAGCCTGGAAAACCTGTGTAAGAATTCCTATGGATTGATCCAAATAGCTCCTCTATAAACACAGATATATAAAAATATGAATTTGACCCCATATTGCAGTTCACTCCCTTCTTTCAGAACCCACAGCAGCTTACGGGAGTGGGGGGTCAGGGGTGGTGGTGGGGTTGGGGTCTGGTTTTCCCAAGTGTTGGTGGTCCACGGATTCAGCAAGCCTCAGTTTGGGCTAAACAAGGTTACAGAGCTCCACTTTTCTTTTGAAAGCGTCTCTGTGTGTTCTTTTCGGAGAAGCTTCTCTTTCATAGCCATTGCTCATTTTGAGGACTCCGGGTGGGCTGGATAACGCAGCCTCACATGAAATTCTTATCACCCAATATGCAAAAAACTTCCCACCCCACCACTACCAAAGGTCACACAGAACTGCAATCAGTCGATCTAAACCAATCAACATTCATTAGCAGCTGAACAACCAGTAAACAAAACAGTTTTGCAAAAAGGCAATGACGAACATCAACGTTAGACGAAAAGGGGAAGAACCCCGGGAACGGGAAGGGGCCTTGGGGCACACCACACCGCAGCACGTTTCCCCAAGTGGAGACGTGCAGGAGGAATAGCAGGGCAGAAGCAGAAGGAAAGACCACGTGCTGCAGACCTGCGGGAAGTGAGCTGGGACCAGTATGTTTTCAGGGGCAGAAACAGAGCTCAGCTATGCAGGGTCTCCAAGGTGAGGAAGTCAGTGACATCAAAGTTACCTGTGAGTTAACATCTGTGCGCTTGCCATGCTCTCACCCGGCATTTACTGCGGTATCACATTGTATGGACACCGAAAATATTTACACCCAGACTGGATTCATGCAGACAGGTGGAAAAGCTCAGGAATGGCACAAAGAAACCGAGCTTTTGGGCACGCAGAGGGAAGAACAAAAACATTTCCTAAAGATGTTCTCACACTGTTCTCTTCTCACTCCAGAAGATGCAGCCAGGCCTTGCAAGTAAGCAAGTCTGTTGGAAAAAGAGAAACATTCTCTTCGGCAGTCTGCTACAAAATGGGAGAATGGAGAAGGAAAAAGAAAAAAAAGAAAATAAAAATAAGAGAGAGCGCTGAAGACATGGGATATCACAGATCCCTATCAGTTTTCCCAACGTCTATTTCCTAACTCGTACTAACACAGCTTCCTCCAGCCCCTCTTCAGTTGAAGGAAGTTTCAGGGTTCATACCTGTAATTTGGGGAGAGAAGGACAAGGGTTACTTTTTTCTTCCTGAAGCAGATTTTTTCCCCTCTCTCAGGCATGTGCTGCATAATTTCAGCTACAGCGTAGATTTTATTGCTAGCATTTAGAAGAGTAAGCGCTCACTGACATGCAAGATGGGAAAGGTTCCTCCCCTGGGGAACACAACACAGAGAATGATTAAGCCACCAGTAGGTATTTAAGAACATAAAAAAATATTGGCAGATCAGGGTTGCAGTTCTTGCTGAACAGGAGTCAGCACAGGAACAGAGCTAGCCTGCTGATTTCCAGCAGGGTGTAGCATTGGTGAAGAATAAGTCTTTAAGCTTAGGATTTTTAAACACTGTTTAATAGTTAAAAGGTTGAAAAGTAATCACAGCTTGCTCCTCCAGAGGCGTGAATCAGGTGCCCTGTTTTGTC